TATGAGACGCCGTGATTTGACAACAACTGAGCATGAGAATGCTCTGAAACGGCATGGAGCAGAGACCCTGTCGTTGAACGACAGGAAATCCTACACAACGGCAGGGGAAGGGTTTGGGTTGACAGCTGCGGATTGATTAGCGGAAGCGGGGTCTCCGGCGGCTGCGACTATTTGATTGAATGGGATGCCAAGAAACTGTGTTGGCTGAATCACCGTCTCCGACAAGGAATGCGGCGGACCCTTTCATGGCCTAGAGGGCGAAGGATCCCTCGAAGGACCGTCAGAGGATACCTCTGCCAATGGACGTTTTTCATTTGGGTCGGTTCGGTGAACTTGCGCGTCGTTGCCTGCAGAGCAAGAAAGTGATGCCGACGGCTGGTTAAACCCAGGAGGAAAAAACTGAACCAGCGGATTCTGGGAGTTAGGGACGCCGGCGGCATGAAACAGATTAGCCCATTCCAACTCTGAATACAACGGAAAATCCAGAGCGTCAACTGACTGCAAAATTGGGGCACTGGAGTTCGGGTATTCGCCTTCGCCGGAGCTTGGGTTGTCCAATGACACAACGCCAAGAGCAAGGTAAGTTTTTTCTCAGCCTAAAATTGTTGTTCTTGCAGGTAAGTTTTCAATACTGAGAAACAAAATTGCATACAAATTATAAAGAACAAATTAAGGACATAATGTGCTTGTTCTATTAAGCAAACGCACCAAATCACTGTCACTGCCCGTTTGAGAATCTTCATCGATTCCATAAACGACTTCATCGGCCTCTTCATCTTCACTTTCGTCCTTTTGCTCATCTCGTTCCAGGACAGGTTGGTTTGTTTGATATTTGAGGCCCTGTTAATCTGCCCACCAAAATAACAAAAATAATAATATATTAACATAAGAAAAAAAAAAGGATTGGGAAAGATTTTATTTAAAAGGACATTGCTACCCCAAAAAATACCTGATCTGACACAAGTTGCAGACGACCAGACAACTGGAATAAAGACTTTATGGCTGAACCTCTTGATTTAGCAACTTGAAGAACAAAATAACGTAAATTAGATGTTATAGTTATATATAATGACAAGATGAATAATCAGAAAGACAATATAAAATTAGTTATCTTATTATAATCAGAAAGACAATATAAAATTAGTTATCTTATTACAATAAGTAAATGAAAACTTTTATTTTTACCTTATACAAATAGTCGAGGAGTTTGGGTTTCTCAGATTTGATATAATCGCCGTGATAAACTAATATGCAACGTATCCATGGAAGAACATGCTTGGCAATGTGGGATCTGACAAAAGAGAAAATTAATCAATTGCGAACAAGAAACAAAAAATATCACGTGCCTTAACAGAAGTGAATTACAAGGTCGGCAAACTTAAGTGACAGGGTTAAAACAAAGAAAAAGTATGTGCATTTGTGTGTGTGTGTCTGTGTTAATATTCCAACACCCTTTTTGACCGTTTCTCTGAAAATGAAGATATTTTAGACGCCATACCTGGACTGTCAAACATTTACCAAGCTCTTTAACTGGGTAAGTGCATCACCAGATTCCATAGACAAGACAGTGGCTTTCAACTATACAGAAATAAAAAAATAATAAAAAAAAATAATTACATTGTAAACACAGGATAGGTAATAAAATGGAACTTTATCAGGGGGTGAAGAAAAACCTTCTTATGAGGCGTGGAGGAATCAAGATCAATGCCCTTGAACCATTTAGAATCCATTGTTGAACCAAGTGCATCATCAATATTTCCAAGTATCCCAAAGGATCTTAGACGGTCCTCCATGCAGAGCGTCGCCTCATCTAAATCACCTTCATCTGCATCATCCAATAAGCATAAGCCACGTGAAAAAATGGTGATGACATAATTATTATCTATATTTCTTTCTTCATGATTGCATCAGAAAATTTATTCCCCATGTGGGAAACATGTAGGAATAGGAAAATACAGGGGTGAAAGAGTTTTCTTTTCCTTTTTTCTATCAAGACAAAGTAATTGATGCAATTATTATAAAACAATATTAATAAATATAGGAAGAAGCTCGTTTGCGAATAGCCGCATACCATTGCTTCCCACGGCCGTTGCTCCAACCTTTCCATCTTTGAGACCAAACATCTTAGGCACAGGAAGTAGAGCACCCACAGTGCTCGAGCTATCTAGAGCAGTAATTGTTGATTTCCAATAGAAGTCGTTACAACAAACGTATATAACTGCAAAAGTTAAATATAGCATAGTGCTACACTGACAAGCAAATGGTTTGAATCAAAGGATGACAGGTGGACCATTTTCGGATTTTCTGAGTACAGTTAGTGTCACCATAGAATCAAATTTACAAGAAAATGTGTTGATATGGGTTGCAATGCTTTGAACCAGTTTACTATGCAAGATATAAAAAAAAAAGAATTATATAAAAGATAAACAAAAATTCTGTTCGCCTAACTTAACATGATGCGTACTTACTACAGAATAACCAAAATTCTAAAAGTAAATAATCTTGACTTGCCTTGACTCGGCATGCCTGATTCTGTTTCACTTTTGTGCAACTTCCTCACAGGCAAAAAAGCACCATCTTGCGAAACATTTAATTTTACATCTGTCCCAGATTGCACTACAACTTTCTCAAATGAAGGTTTTATGATAAAACCATGGGCAAGAAATATGTGACCACCAGCAGTAGTAGAAACACTCTGCAATTTTGCTGCAAATACATTAGGAATAGTCCCTCTGCTTTTCTTTATAACCCCATCATCAAATTGTACATAGATTTTTGTGGGTTTTGAATAACGAAGCTCGTCAATGGTCTTTCCATGCCAGAAATAGCAAACACCCATTTCTGATACTGCCAGAACAGATAGGCCCATATTTTCGCCATTGGAACACCACGTATCCAAGAAGACAGCATGGTGGTCCATTGCAAGAATAAAAGAGGATGATTTTGTCTTGGGAAAATTGCAACTCAACTAAATACATACATGACTCGGCACAAAAATGTCAAACCTTTTTTATCAAGAGGTAGCCACTTCATACATGTGTAGTCCATTGAAAGGTGCCCTTCTTCTATTTTCCCGAATATACTTGTCTCGTTTGAAGCAATATCTACAAACTCAGTCTGGACTTGACCCTTTACTGTGTCCCATATCTGAAAATCCGCAAATACATTTCCGAATTATTAAAACAATTAAACACTATACAGTCCCACTATCTAATTCTCAAGTACCTCCATGCCCTCTTTTTCTTTCTCTACCCACACGTACATTACTGGGGCTACTAAAGCACAAATATCTTATATCATGAGCCAAGCTTATTATCTTAGAAAAATTGAAGAATTTCTACCACTAAAGCACAAATATCTTATATCATGAGCTCATTAAACTTCAAACCAAAGAAGACTACAACTCATTCTAGTCTAATTCAGAATGATACATTCAAGAACAGAAGGCAAACTACAAAAAGAAAGACGCTACCAAGAGCAATAATTCCGCAATATTTGTGGTCCTTTTAAGCTTTCGAAAATATGCTGAGAAGAATAAAGAAAGTACCTTTATTCGGCCATCGGCAGTACTAATAGCAAACAAGTCCAGGTTCGGACTAAACGAAGAGAGGATGTCCTTAATATGTGATGACCTCATTTTCTTCTCTTGGAAGCTCGGACCAGAAAAGAATAGAATCAGGGAAAACAAAATTGTGCAGATTCTAAAGTGTATGAGGGGTTTTCTTTCTTTCTCTAGGTATGTTCAGTTCAACCGCCGCGACTGCGGAAGGAAGGCCTTGTGGAGCGCAACCGGAGGTGATGGTGGTGGAGGCGGCGGCGCGGAAGCTGCAAAATTTGTGCTTGTTCAGAGGTGCTGGTGGATACGCAAATTTGAAACCCTCAAAAAATGGGCTGATCAAAGAGTAGAGAGCCCAAATAATGGGTGAGCAAAATATAATGGGCCCTAAGCAATGAACTTACAAAAAGGACGAAATTTTATAAATACCTCATTCGGAGATCTATTTATAGACAATTTGTGAACTGAATTGCTTGCCATTTTAGTTTTGAAAAAAAAAATCTATCTCTTACTCTCTCTTTGATAATTTCTTGTCGCCGCCTCGCCGCACCTCTAAAAAAATTCGAAAAAAATGAAACATCCTCGCCATGGGCAAGGCAAAGGCTCCATGATTCCAGGGGTATGTTTTTTCTTTCCGATTAGTAAAATTTTTCAAAAGATAATTAAGTTTCAGTTTGGACAGCCGCCGAAGTCGACCGCTGAAGTTGTGGGCGACAGCCGATTGCGGCCTGCGCTGGTGCGAGCTGCTTTGGTCTTCTGGCTGGCCGAATGCGCCCTAATCGGCCAATCCAGTGGCCGGCCATGCGCTTTGCAGCCGGGGTTGGCCGAAATTTATTTATTTATTTACTTTTTAATAAGTAAAATTATTTAAATATGTTTAAATATTTAAAATATTTAATTTTTCTATTTAGATTAATTTAGATAAATTTTAGTTTAGTAGTTATTAATAATATGTTACTTATAAATAATATGTTATATATATTAGTTAAATGTAATTATATTAAAATTATGATACTAATATTTTTAATAGTACTAATTATTTATTGGATAAACTTTATTATTTTAAGAAACAAATTAGTTGTAATATATGTAATAAATTGATTTGTTGAGTAATTAATAGTTTAAAAAATTTTATTAGTATTCTAAAATAAGTTGAAAAATTTATAAAAAAAAATTAGTTAATTAGTTTGTATAATTATATAATCATAAAGTGGAATTATATTAATATATGGTCACGAATAGTTACTAATTTGATTTCTAATTCTTCTTAGAAAAATAATTACTTGTAACATTTAATAATGTATATTAGAAAATAATAATTGTAAATATTAATATAATTAGTTAGCGTATATATTAGTAATAAATAGTTAATTATAATTTTTTTCAAATAATTAATAAATTGTATGAATTTAAAAAGGTTGTTTACTAATTATTTTAAATTATTGATTTAGACTGGTGGTAGACCTATGCGATTGGCCACCGATGCAGAGGCTGCCGAGTTTTATGGTTCTAAACCCCGACACATGTAGAGTCGGTATGTAGATGCTTCCACTCGTAGGGAGAGAGAGGAGATGATGTGTTAGATTCGCATGAGACAGACTGGTCATGCTGACCAGGTTGAAAGTTCGAGATGCCTCGCTCCGGTACATGTCGGTTAGTAGTCCCACTTCTAGCAACGAGATACGTACTAAAATGAGTCGACAACCGAGAAGCTGCAGTTCTTAGATGAGTCTGAGGACTTTGACTCTGCATATAAGGAGGACATTCTTCCTCCCCTCTCACGACAGGCTCATGCAACATGCACGACCTGCTCCTCCATGTTCAGGGTCATCTTGCGGGCACTAGATCCTCAGGTAAATAATTTAGGTGCTTATAGTTGTTTAGCATTAAGTATTTTTTATTTAATAAAAGCATATCATTGATACAGTCAGTCACAGTATGTCGTATATATATATATGTTCTATTTTAATGCAGGGACTAGCAAACGATCTAGGAGTAAACCTGAGGATTCCTGGGTCGTTATAGGCCTAGTGCTCGGTGACCTTCTTGATGGGATTGTTATCCCTAGATTATTAGGGCACGTAGCCTCTCATATGTAGAAGGGAGAGTCAAGAGGCGTGCTGAAATGCCAGAACAGACAGAGAGTGCAAGACAACTTAAGGGCTTGGCTTTATGGTATGGCTCCCGCTCCACGTGCTCTGATAATTCAAACTGGGCTGTCACATCTTGTGGAATCCATGTATACTCATGTGGACACTCTAGTTATTTCTTCTTTGGAGCACTGTCAGCCAGATACTAACTCGTTTCACTTGACTTTTGGTGAAATGCATATCAAGCTGCACGACGTCGTGCCATTTTGGGGGTTTCTATTGAGTGAGAGATAGTTACACAAGACATCAACACTAGCTCCTGCCAGACGTATTTCATGGAGATGCTGGATGTGACAAAGAATGAGCTATGTCATTCTGGAAGCATGGTGTTGTGATAGTTGTCGCCATATTGAAAGTAATTTAGGGAAAAGCCCGGTTGCCTGAGACTGAAGCTACTGCCTGAGTGTGGGTGCTGCTAGCTGCCACCTTGTTTGTGGACAAGAATGGTAGCAGGGTAAGTCCCAAACTCCTGTACGAAATGATCGACGCCTTCAGTAGAGATGAGACTTACTCCTGGGACTCGGGTGCACTGACTTATATGTACAGACAGTTAGGTATTGCCAGTAGATGGGACGCACGGAAACTGTCTAGTTATTTGATTCTTCTTCAATACTGGATATATATGTACTTTCCTTGCTTCTGACCCCAGCGAGAGCGTCTGGCCATCGGTCCTGACTGCTTGACTCTTCTTTAGTCATGGAATTTTTAATTTTGGACTCTTTTGTTTTATTATGATTTTTTTGAGAGAGAATCTCTATTTTATTACTTTTCTACTATTTTTCTATGTATATGTTCCATAAGATTAAGACTAGTACGAATCTCGTGCGATGCACGAGTAAGAGATATTCGTTGATACTTATAAATTAAAAATGCTTAATAAATTGAAATATGAAATCAATATGCAATGCTCCCCTCCTCCCTATATTAATTTATTTCAAACGTTATATGAAAGATAATTTGTGCAAAATTATATAAAACACGTCTATTGAAATTAGTACACAACTCGTGTAGTGCACATAACATATAATAAATTACATCATATTCATATCAAAAATAAATGTCAGTTTTTTTTTTCTTGGATACTAAATTAAATTTAAGATGTCTGAATTTTGTGATTGAATGATTTGTAAAGTGAAACGTTATATTTTTCAAAATTCATGTAAAACTGAAATAATATTATAGTCATGTACAAATTCGATTACCAAATAGACAAATAGAGAACATAAAATTGTATTTTATTTATCTTTATCATTTATATAGAAATAGAATTATAATTTATATTAACCATGACTTAAATTGGCATATTTTTATTATTTACCATAATTTTGTTGTTCACTTTAATATTGCAATTATATTTGGATAGATTTTGTTAATAATATATAGAAATTAAGCAGATTTAATTTCTCTTATCCCCTCTGTATATAATTTTAGAACGTGCGGAGTCTAAGTGGCAAATTCGCACGCTTTGGATGTTAACATATTAAAATGATGTGTTTCGTAATTCAGTTTGTATAAATAATGTTGCTCTAAATTTATGTTTGATACTTCACATAAATAATTTATTTCCGATTTTTGTAATTATACATTTATATTTGTCATTTTTTCTGTTTCTTAAAATCAAATCTCACCATAGAAAACTCATATTATTTATTCTCGTTTATTTCATTTATTAAGTACCATAATTTATTATATTCATGACTTTAAATTATAATAAATTTTTTATATGTAGCCTATTTTTCGGATATGATTTATCAAAATAATTATTTTTTGACGATTTTTTATTTTCATCTATATCACATATAGAAATTTAAAATTAATTCCAACTATCTTTATAAATAAAAATTAAACTTATTATCAATCCAAATTAAAAAAGACACGGACAAATGAAATTATATGTTATCTTAGTAAAGTATATTTATGTAAATATTTTTATACCATATATAAACTTATTTATATAAATGGAATTCCCAATATTTTTGATTCTAAACTATTTCATAGAATATATGATTTGAATTTATAACCGAGGGGGTAGTGTAGTTTTTCTATGACATGCAAGACGATATTAATTAATTAGTGGCATATTTAGTGATTATATTAAATATTATGCATATTAAAATTATTATACTGCAGAATATGAGGGATTACAAATATTAGTGTCTAAGAAAATGTGTATCTTGATATATTAGAGATCTATATATGTGATTAGTATTACCA